ATACTACTAAGGTAAGATTAACATGGTAGTACAATTATGGAAACTTAAATTATTATTGCTCGATCGTAGACTTTATTGCTATGACAATGAAAATACATATGGGAATAGGTCCGCTATCGCTATCATACATTTCTAATTAACCCTAGCTAATTCGGGAATAGCTTAACCAGACTTAATCTTGATATTACCGACCTATCAAAACAGTAGATCAACAATACGAAAGGGAGGAACTTCGCAACTAATAGCGATTTAAAGAGAATCGTTTCGAAATATTAAACGCTTTTTCTTGATCTGGTCCTTGCACTGCTCTTGCAGCCTCGGAGCCAAACTATCCAAAAAAAAGTGATTTAGGTCTTACAGTGGTCATTGCGCTATTTCAAGCCGCTGAGACACATGATAAAGGGTGGGAAGGGTGGGCCGATAGAGCCAGCCTATATCAAGGCGAGTGATAGCGAACAGAAGATTAACAAACATCTAATCGGCATACAGAGAAGAAGATGGACAAGAGTTTTTTCGCCTTGCATCAAGAAATTGAAGAGGGTGATTTATTAGACGAAGTTTGGCCTAAAGTTAAGTTGACTAAGGCACGTGACCAACATGAGTATGATTTCTTGGCTAAGACTGGTAGGAGTTTAGATAAAACAATTAAAGGGTTACAAGTTCCCTTTAGAAAGGAATTTGCTAGAGTTCGGGATGATATAGAGACACGCGCGGAAATGCTAAGATTGGCTGACAATAGGGGTTGGAGTGCTGCACTACAGATAGTAGGAAATAATAATAAAATGATGGAGAAATATAAGAAGCATATTCCCCTTGTTGCATCAGTGGCTCAGTTTAGTGGCTGGAATTACAATAGAGGTTTTGTAGCAACCAATATAAGGGAAAAAGGTTTTCTCCTCCTTTATCAGGTTCTGAGAAAGGAGAGTCTTATAAGAAAAATAAATGAAGAGATAAGGGGTTTTATTTCTTTCGTGGCAGAGAGAGATATAGTTTTGCAGGTCACCAGAGAGCGATTACCTGCTTCAACTGTGGAGGTGTTGGCCACTTTGCCACTAGTTGCCCATCCTCAGGTACAAGAGCCCTGTCAAGCCCCAAAATGAAGTCTGACAACACTCAGGCCTTGGTCTTGGAGGAACCAATAAACATTGCCAAGTTAACATTTCAGGATTTTGTAGTAGGAAGAATGCAGTTAGTAGAGGCGTTAAGTTATTGATGTCACAAGATAAATCCTTCTCCAGTAGTTATAGATTGGTTAGTAAATGGGGTACCATTGTTTCCAAGAGGGGCATTAGTGCTTGCACTACAGCCAATCCCAAATCAGTACATGCTGTCAAGCGAGCAAGTAGAGTGGGTATAAAGATAGTTAAAACGTCTTTTAGATTCTTCAGCAATAAAGTGTCTAGGAAACCAAGTAAAAAGACCTGATTTTCTTTTAGAAGTGAGCCCAGTTTTTCTAGTGCCCAAGAAAGGCCCCCAAAAAATGGCAGTTAGTAATAGATTTAAGACGTTTAAATACTACCTTACCAGAAAAGAAAGTAAAGCTAGAAGGTTTAGGTGAACTTCTCCGAATAGTGGGCAAGGGCTGGCACATCATCACATGGGATCTCAAAGATGGGTATCATCATGTGATGATGAGAGAGAATGCACATCGTTTCCTTAGTTTCAGAATATTAGAAAATTGGTACTACTACAAAGTGCTTCCCTTTGGCCTGTCACAGGCAGTTTGGATTTTCTCAAAGATTATGAGAGCCTTAGTGGGTCATTGGAGGTCTCTAGGTCTGTTTTGTGGGAATTACAGTATTTAGACGATTTTTGGCTAGCTCATCCCTCAATAGATACCCTGATTACAATAAGAGATCAAATAATAAAGATAGACTTAGAGAATTGTGGGTTAATAAGAGAACCGACCAAAGGACAATGGGCGCCATCTCAACAAGTAAAGTTTTTTGGTCTAATAATAGATACAGTAAAAGCTCAGGTGATAGTACCAGAAGAAAAGATTGTAGCAACAGAAGGGTTACTGCTAGAACTGGCGGAGAAAAGAAAAATTTCAGCATGGGAGTTAGCAGCAATAGCTGGGAAGGTTTAATCTCTGAACAGAGCTTTTGCTCATGCCAAAGTTCGTTGTCTAAAATTTCATTCCATAATAGATACTGCCAACAGAGGTATTTTGCAATGGGATTCATGGGTAGATCTAACAGAGCAAGCCAGAGAAGATTCCAAGTGGATAGCCCAGAATTTAAGAAAACAAAATGGGCGTCCAGCTTGGAAACCATCAAAGGTAAAGCAAGTTTTTGTCGATGCATCAACTGTTGGGTGGTCAGCAGTATTCGAAGATCACCGAGCCTTTGGAAATTGGAGCTCAAGGAAGTCCCACAAGGAGATTACCCAATTAGAAGCAGAAGCAGTAATTTTAGGGATAATATCCTTTGCAGACCTTTTAAAGCATTTTTGGATAGACTTACACATAGACAACCGGGGTGCTATCAGCAAGGTAGTAAAAGGTGTCCAACTTCCTTGGCAAAAAGATTTGCTACGAAGGCTATGGGAAATATTGGACAAGAACGATATTTGGATCAGCGAAGTTTTTTGGATTCCTTCAGCCTTAAATCCAGCAGACCAACTGACCAGATTTATAGATACCAACGATTGGTCCCTGAACCAATCAATTTTCAATCTACTAGAAGAAAAATGGGGTCCTCACTTAATAGATCGTATGGCAGACTATCAGAATTCCAAGCTACCCCGTTTCAACAGCAGGATTTACTGCCCCAACACAGAAGGCATAAATTGCTTTGCCCAAGACTGGTCCCAAGAAAACAATTATATATGCCCTCAACTAGCTCTAATCCATCGGGTTCTACAGCACATAATAGAAGAAAAAGCAGTAGATACAATAATAGTTCCCAAGTGGGTCTCAGCAGAGTGGTGGCCAATTCTAATGCATATACACACAGATTATATAGTTCTGCCTTCAGTTCAGAACACCTTCGTGAGAGGCTGTTCAGGAGTAGTAGAACCTTGAAAGAACCTAAGTTGGCAGTTTCTGGCAGTAAGAGTGAGTTAGTAAGTATATTACTTAGCAGGGCACGAATCTTGGAAAGAGGTGCTGTATCAGATAACTGGAACCATCGTTTAGACAAGGCATGGGAGCTATTTAAGAACTATTGTAAGGTTATGAGTTTGGTACCTCTGCCATCCGAGGTGGATACTCTTGTTTCCTTTATTGTCTGGCTTGATCTTACCCAATCGTTTGCAGTTTGTGCTGATGCATATGGGCGGATTTGACTCCATTCAATATTGTCACAAAATTCGATTTTGTCACATATGATGATCAAAACATATTATTAACCAATCAAATCGATTAAAAAATTTAATTGTGATATTTCAAAATTTGATTAATACT